TGCCTTGTACTTTTAATCATGACCATGCCCCAGGTGAAGTAATAAGAGCGAGAAGAATGATTTGTTATCGATTTGACACTATGTTAATTGAAAATTTGCCTTTGTTTGTTTTTGTTTATCGGCCTTTAAATGATAAACAGTTGTAATTTTTATTTGTTATTTATTTGGGCCTCGAGCTTAACAAGTAAAAATTACAACAGTTTGAAAATTTGCCTTTAAAATGCTGTATAATGCCCTAAGAAGTGGAAATTGGCCCCCTCTGAAAAACCTACAACTGTTCTGAGCAGGTTCCGTACGATAAGTTTTTTATCAGGGAAACAAAATATAATATCAAGAACGTTCTCACAAATTAGCCAAACGCTAACAAAATCAAATAATCAAATAAGAACACAAGTCTGAAGAACGTTCTGCAGAAAAAATCGAGAAAAAAGTTTTGAGAACTTAACGTTAACAATGGGGATGGCGTCTGCGTGTTGGGATGAAAAATTGTATGAGTGATAACCACGATTGTTGATTCTAATCCAGATTCCAGATCGTTTATCATTAGGGTGAACTGTGCATTAGAGTGGTCCAAAAAAAAATCTCCGAGCTAGGGTTGGCGGCACCGAAAGAGGTGCTGGCGCCAAACTTTATGTTTCTAAGTATACATTTAGAGGACGCTCATGAAATGTTTATATTTTACTTCAGAAGTATATTGTACATATATTAACGATTTTTTTGGGCCACTCAAGACTATTTCAAATTTAAATTTGCTGAAAAAATATTACCAGCTACAGTTGTCATGGCAATATTATCAATATTTTTGTGACTTTCAAATGGATTTCAATAGTGCGCATTTCAATGTCATTGACCAACCTGTATTGGTTACAGTAGAAAATTGAAAGTTGGTAAAGATATTACAAATACCAATAGGAAAAAACTAAGGGGATACCCCGTTTTCTATGATGACATTTTTTCCCACCCATACAAAATTTCGACCAGTACTGTGCATTTATGGCACAATTTTTCATTTTCTGTGCAAGAAAAGTTCGTGTCTTAAGTCTTTCGTTGACTTTATTTGCATAATTATCTTCCAGTTCTTTTTTGATTAATTTCATTATTCAAGCATTTAAAACTGGTGGTAAGCGTTGTGGAAAATTTTGCTCTCGCTTCCTTTCTTTGCGAATAGTTCAGAGAAAATGTGTCCCCGTTTCGTTCTCTATCAGAAAGTTCCTGAACTTTAGTTCCCAAATTATTCTTAAAAAAGAAAGCTCCATAGACTTTCATTCCAGTTTTGTTCTTTGCCGAAACGTTCCGGAACCTTTTGTTCCCATTTTGTTCTCTTAGAAATGTTCCCGAAAGCATTTTGTTTTCTTTGGGAACGTTCCACAGGGTTTTGTTCTTATATAATTCCCATTAAGAACGTTCTCGACAGGTTTGTTCCCATTTTGGTTTTGATTTTGAAGCGTTCTTGTGAACAAAACTACAATAACAACATTTACTTTTGATCATACCTTTTGTTCACAGTCCCTTGTTTTTATGAGAATAATAATGTTCAAGATTAAATAGGTTTTCTCAGGCCCGGCCGCAAGGAAGGCTTAAACTCCCGCCCCCTCCCCCCCCTGTGGAGGGAAATATGCATACAAATTTGCCATCATTGTTTTAAGATAATAATGGTAAAGAAAAATTTTAAGATCTCAAATATTTAAGATCTCTTTTCAGAGAGAGTAGTCGAGAGAACTAGGTTTAATTTAAGCCAGGAAGGTTCTATCACCTTTTATTTCTTTGCTAGAGCTTCTAAAATATTGCCAAAAACCGCGATTTTTTAATACTTGGCCCCATTTTTCGTGCATATGTGTGTGTAATCACCACAAAAAAATCTGTCAAAAACAGCTTTAACATTTGCCGTACCAAATTTTTTTTTTATTTTTAGTGGGCTGTTTTATCGATTAAAAATGAGCAATAATTCAGATTTCCGTTTTTTTTCTACAGAAATGTTTCCTTATGTGGTCTATAACACCTTTCGCTCTCCTATTTAGTTATAGTTTTGCAAAATAATTCAATGAATAACATTATGCATGTGCAGTAGACTGCGCCTTATTTTGCAACTTTGTCCTACCAAACAAGACTCGCCCCAGAAAGGTTCATTTGGTCATAAAACCGTGACCTGCGGAAAATCAATATTTTGCCTATAAGTCAGTGGGAAATTTTATACATTTTAATGGCACTTGGTTTAGTTTTGTCCCCCGATGTCAAAAATAGTTGCAGTATTTTTAAAGTTATTGAGATTTTTTTTGGGAAAAAGCCGTGAGGCCTTTTGAAAAATTCAACATGGCGTCCAAACCAACCTTAAATTAGATTTTGCTTTACAAATTTTAGGCCACCGGCGAACCCAACACTAAAAGAGAAAAGTTCCCTACAACTTTGGCATTTCAATATGCTACGCTTTTTATCAGAAATTGTTGAAAAATGGCGAAAACCGTGACAGTGCAAAAATTTTTCGCATGGTTTGCTAATTATTTATAATAAAAAATGAATTTTTTTATAAAGTTTGTATATTAAAAAATGTGGGAAATTAAATTCTCTACAAATTTGTATATAACCGTTTTTTACGAAAAATGCAAAATAAGCTTGCAAATCGCAAAAACCCAAAAAAAAACTAAAATCAATACTTTAAAAGTTGGGGAGATTTAAAAATAGGCTAGTCATATTTCACATCGGGGGGCAAAACTACATCAAGTGCCATTCAAATATATTAAATTTCCCACTGACTTATATGAAATTTTGACCACTTTGTGGAAAATTCCATGAAAATGCTGGACTTTCCGGCCTTTCGAGGTACGTCTTTCCGTTGTCCGATTAAAAAAATTTTTCGCAGGGCACGTTTTTATGACAAAAGGAACATTTCTAGGGGGAGTCTTGCTTTGTAGCTTAACAATTAAGGCGCAGGCGATCGCACAATGGGCTAGCTTTTCGCAATATCATCGCAATCTGGATGTTCATGTTGACTCAGTATTAAAAGAATTTTTATCTATGCCTCGGTGAATTGCACGTGCCTTTTCTTTGTTAAATTATATCCACAATTGAACACAATATGCTGAATACTCTAAATAAAAAAATGATATTATTTGTGGTTACGAATGACTTTCCATGATCTAGTATGTGATCAAACAATAACCATTAGGTGCCAAGGTACGGCGGAAGAGTCATCAATTCAGTGTAGACTGTAGCCTAAAAATGGTTGTGTACCACTCCGAATTCACTGTTCAATGACACGTGACATGAGCAACCACATCGCGATCCGCGTCGAATACTTTCAAAGCTGGGGCGTTTCTGTTCATTCGTACGACATGGCTCAACCAGCGCAGCCGCTGTATTTTAATTCGCTGCACTATGTCCATGTCGTTGTAAAGCTCATACAGCTCAACACTTCATCTTCGGCGGTATTCACCATAGGCAAGGCGCAAAGGCCCGTAAATATTCGACATAATCTTTCTCTTGAAAACTCCAAGAGTCCCTTCATTGAAACTAAACTAAATTAGTATGGGGCCACCCATGAGGTACTTTTCAGATAAAAAAAACATCGACAGCAGTTCACGTGGGCCAAAGTTGGCCATGGTACATGCCGAGGAATTGAAAACCTCCTTTAATAATTTAATATTTTGCGTCTGGCGCAAGGCAGTAATAGTAGGTAGTCATAGTAGAGCAGCTGATTTGATTTTGTTTAAATTACCTGGTGTCTAAACTGTCAAATATTGTAAATTTTTTTACGAAAATTCTTAACTTGAAAAAGGATACAAAGTATGCTTTCAAATGTTCTGTTTGACTAAATATTAACGGTTATTTTTAAGCGAAAATACAACCGTCTTCAATGCTCATAACAATTTAGGAGTACCCTTAAATTCTTCATGACACAATAATTGGAACTAAACGAAATTAGAATGGGACCACCCTTTCCGAACAATCGGCAACGGTTCGAGTGGTCCAAAGTTATCCAGTAAAATATGTTTGTGCATAAAAAAATATCCCGATGAATTGTTAACCTTCCACCTTGTTGAACTCGGTTAAAAATTATTTTCAGTTATGAGTTTCGGACGTCTTCCAGATACAAGAAATTAACGGGAATCAGTATCGTCTTCTTTGGCGGTTTCCTTCGAAGAAGCCCATTTGAGTTGGCGGTCTTTGGCATGGATGTCTTTTCTATTTTATCAGATTCCAGTTTTCTAAGTCTATTCTGGAATGGGAATGCCTGCCTTGGTCTTCTTGCGTTTTGTACTGAACTAGTTAATGTTTGGCCGTGAAGTCTGGCAGCATCGTGGGGGACGATTTCGTCAGTAGAGTTCTGCAGTAAAGTATCCAATTGTCCATTTATGTTCGCACGTCAAAACATAACCGAAAGTAGCACCAGTCAAGACAGTAATTACACTACTGAGGTCAGATACCGATATGCATATCGTCGGTGATACTGCAAAACGTGCTATGTTACTTATTACCTCTGGTGCTTAATTGATCTGTTATCTGTATCTGATCGCGTCTGGCAATCGTTCATCTTCATCAGCCGTTTTGCAGTATCACCGACGATATTTTGGTCTGACACATGGATCATCTGGTTTGGAAGGCCAACAGCTGCTGTGTGTTCCTCACACGGAGTGGAATATTGACCTAGGAGGGAGGTGTAAGGCGATATTTAGAAAGTTTTCCCATGATTTGTTAGGTAGGTTTCACTTATATATTCTATAAATTTCTTAGATTTTACCAGTAAAAAAAAAAAAAATCGTTAATTCTAGTGTCTCATCATGTTTCTTATTTTTATATGTACATACATAAGTAGATAGGCTAATCTAGTTCTCTTGGCTTTACTTATGGTTACGGAGTCGATAGCATAGCTATACACACTTTATTTAATTTAATTTCGGTCTTGATTAAACAGTGGCCAGATGAAACCGAGAGAATGTGTTCGATATACATAAGAAGAAAATTTACGTACAAAGATAAATTTTGTCCAAATAATCTCGTTCCAGGTGGGTATTCCGTTGGGTCTCGTCATGTTTCAGTCGATCGGAGAACGTCTAAACAAATTCGCGTCGGTGATAATACGTCGTGCAAAACGCTACATGCATTGCACCCAAACCGAGGCAACAGAAATGAATCTTATGTTAGCGACAGGCATGCTTTCGTCCATCATAATTACCACTGGCGCAGCAGTCTTTTCGCGCTATGAGGGCTGGAGTTATTTCGACAGTTTCTATTACTGCTTTGTGACGCTCACAACCATCGGGTTCGGTGACTATGTGGCGTTGCAAAACGATCAGGCGCTGATCAATAAACCCGGCTATGTGGCGCTCAGTTTGGTGTTTATACTATTTGGACTGGCAGTAGTCGCCGCCAGTATCAATCTACTGGTGCTACGCTTTATGACAATGTAATGGGCAAACAGTTTCGTACGCATAAGCCACTACATCAGTGGTCAATCTGTAAAGCGACACTTGCCCGCCGTTACGTGATAGAGACAATGGTGTCGATAATCCACAACGGGTACTTGCATGTGTCGCATTACAGACTGCATATGTACAGATACATATGTATCTATCATAGAAATACATAAGTTATACATATGTACATATTTTGATAGTATGATTTGAATAATTACTTATTTTTAGGCAAGCTGAAGACGCCAAGCGTAACGAACAGGATGCTCAGCAAGCCGCAGCTGCCGCTGCTGCTATCTCTAGTCAACCGATTGCCTACGATGTCGAATCAAGCAATTTCAATATGCATGGCAAATTGCTAGCTAATTCAAATTATACAACGGAGTACGATGAAACCGTATCAATCTGTTCATGCACATGCCTCGGCGGTACAAGGTGCCTCAATCATGAGACATTCGCTGATCCCGACTTTCGGCCAACTGATATTATTGAGAGTACTTTGAGTCTGAAGCGTGCGTCAGTTTGATATACATATGGGCTCCAACATGGCGACGGGAAAAAAATGTTGCTGTGATTGTCTGCATATCTTGTAAGGTTCTGCCAAGTGTAGGAGATAAACGTTGTACGTTGTCATAAAATATTTTTTTTTAAATCACAAAGTTTCCGAAATTGGAACATGTAGTATGTAGCATGATAAAAACTTAACAAGGAAAAATCATTGAGAGGCAGTCTGAGGTTTGCCAGCAATAGGTTTGTTCCGCAAGCTACTTGTAGAAAAACTCGAACAAAGTTCAAACTGTCATACTTACAAAAATTTTAGTGATCGGACGTGTTGTGCTATAATATTTTCAGCACTAACGGGCTTTTACAAGATATGTATTTGCATATGTAAATGCAACTTTTTTGTTTGTACCGTATGTACCATATATTAAAATGTATCAGAAAATTAGCATTTACATATGGGGAGAAATATCTTGTAAGTACTGTTTCGTTAATGCATTTTTGTATGTTTGAAACATTAATACAGCCATATGCTTACAACAGTAGTACAAGTGTATGGTTAGAGTACGCATACGCTCTGAGAAACCACGCGTGTTATAGCCCGAACACAATGAAAACGAGGAGCTACAAACCACAGCTGTCAAATTATTTTAACACGTACTCTTATGTAGATAATTATTTTGGCGACGACCGGGCTACGCGACGGCTGTGGTTGTGGCCAGATTAGATCTATTTCTATTTTTCTGGCGACAGATAAGGTTCTTCCTCTTCTTTTATGTCAAACTCATACAAATTCATGATGTCGCTGCCGCGTTCAAAGAAATCATGTCGCCATCGACAAAGCGCTTAGATAATAAAGATGACAAATTGGAAGCTGTGGTCGGTAGCTCGTCGTTTTCAATGTGTTCAGAACTTTAAATGGAAATGCCACGAACCGCGACGTCGTATGCATAAAACTTCTACTGGGATAATTTAAAAATTCAAAACTCGAACTCACACACACGTTCTCATTTTCAATCTCAAACAACAACAATTGTGAACAATTTCATTTTTTTATTTTCAATTTTATATGGTTTTAAAATGCTTGCAAACGTCAGAAAAAATATCATGGCCGACGATTTGAGAGAATGAATTTTCCTTGTAATGTTTTTATCATCCCTGCAAACCATTTTTTCAGAGTATTCTGCATTGTAAAGAAATTTTAAAGAATTCGTTAAGATTTAATTCGATTTTTTGCCGAATTTTCTAAAATGAAATAAATTACGCACACTTCCATTCTTTTATGAAATTTCGGAAGAAAATCTGTGAAGCAACGAGAATAATGGTGCTATGTGAAGAATATCTTTCAGAATTTTTACAGAATTTTCTTTATTTTACGAGTTCGTGTCAACCACTTCATATACTTTTCTTTGAAAATTCGTAAAAAAATCGTTACAGAAATGAGATACTCCTAACGATTTCCTTAAGATTTCGGGAACTTTGGTTTGCAGGGATGGTATGTAGAATGTCTTTCGTGTACACTGAGAAAAGAGTTTAGTTACATATGCACATACACTGAGGGAAAAAAATTTAGAATTAAAAAAAAAACGTGCTAAATTTAAAAAAATACGCATACGAAAGAGCACCAACCAAACTCGTTTTAAATTTGAGTATGTACGTTATAAAATATGTCGTTGTGAAGTGCACAGATGCTTTTTCGTTATACGAAATTATAATTAAGTAGAAAAAAAATTAACTTTATGTTCCGTCTGATGGTAATTGAACCCGGACCCTCTTTGGCAGCACCCAATTACATCAAGCGTCTTTGCACACTCAGCTACAGCCATACATGTTAATGTGTTTTCAAATGTTCAGTTTGTATCAACATCACAGCGCGCGATTAGTGCATTTGTACAGATAAACATGTACCATGTATGCATGTATGTGTTGTCACCGCTGTGCATGCTTTGTATACATATACTTTCTTAATTACATATCGTCGCCTGGGTAAGATTGTCGTAAGCGCCATTTTGACGATTCTAAGTTCTAGATGCAGTTATATATTTTGAAATAAGGTCTTTCGATTGGTGTTATCAGTTTTTAGATATCTCCTTTATTTTCCGAGATATTGTCTATAATTTTTTCGATAATTTAGTAAAAATTTAGTTAGTGATGCAGCCATATTAAACTAATCAATACCTTAAAAATGACGTTCTCCATTTTTTGATATCTCCTTTAGTTTCCGAGATATTGAGAAAAAGGTGTCGTTAATTTAGTAGAAATTTTGATCACATTTTGTCGTATTTCCTACAAATTGGCTGCCAAATTGTGGACAAATGACGCTTACGACAAATGCATTTGAAATGAAGCTTGCCTACATGTATGCAGGTTAATTAACTAATTTAAATGAATGTTACTCCTTGTCACCAAATAAACACTATATTTATCTATACAAATATGGGTATAACCATGATAAAAACATTACAAGGTAAAATCATTAAGAGGCAGTCTGACGTTTGCCAACAATATAATTTTAAAATTCGAGCTCAGGCTCACACACACATTCTCATTTTTAATCTCAAACAACAACAATTGTGAACAATTTCATTTTTTTATTTTCAATTTTATATGATTTTAAAATGTTTGCAAACGTCAGAAAAAAATCATGGCCGACGAATTGAGAGAATGGTTTTACCTTCTAATGTTTTTATCATGGGTATAACTTATGTTTTCAAGAAATGTCACTTAGACCCTTATGATTCTAACCCCTTCATTTGTTTATACACTGAGAAAAAAACGGGTTATAAAAATTAAAATTTTTTATTTGATTAACGTTTAAAAATGTTCGTATTTAAATCAAGGGAAAAGTGAATATTTCCATTATACAGACACTACGTATAATGGAAATATTCAATTCAAATACGCCCGTATTAAAATGAAGCATTTTTCACTGCACGGATGGCGTTTGCACGTCTTAGATGCTTTTTCATATGTAATTAAGAAAGTATAACATAACACATAAACATAAAGTTATCATGTTTTTCTACTTAATTATAATTTCATATAACGAAAAAGCATATGTGCACTTCACAACGTATTTTTTTAAATTTAGCACATTTTTTAATTCAAAAATTTGTTTCCCTCAGTGTAGTTACAGGTATTGTCTTCCCAGATAGCGCCTTATCTATCCAATCTGCCTTATTTAAAAAATATCATTGTTGCCAACACTAAAACGTTTACTGCTAGGGAAAAGGGATATTTCCATACCCCATATATCATATATATATGTTCACGTATTTTTTTAAACAAACCATCTTGCAGAGAACTTATTTAATTTACAAAAGCCGGTAAAAAGCATTTGCTTGTAAATAAATTCAAAATTTGTATGGCTCACTATATTAGCAAACGGTTTTTCTTTTGTTTTGAAAAACTACAAAAATTAAATTGAGCGAAAACAAAAAGCAAAGCCAAATAAAAGTAAAACAATCCACATTGAACCATGATAAAAATATAGGAAGGTAGAACCGCTGAGCGGAGTTTTTCAAATTCTTGATGTTTGCAAGCAATTTAATTTTAAAATTTTACACACATTCTCATTTTCAATCTCAAACAACAAAAACTTTGAACAATTTCTTTTTCTTACTCTCAATTTTATACGATTTTAAAATACTGGCAAACTTCAAAAAAAAAATCGTGGCCGACGAATTGAGAGAACGGTTTAACCTTACTATGTTTTTATCATGCATTGAACTGCGACACAATGAAAATAAGGGAGCACGAAATTCGATTTGAAGCAAAACTCTCTGGGAAAACAATACCCATGATTCAATTATTAAAGGCATGATAAAAACATAACAAGGTAAAACCATTGAGAGGCAGTCTGACGTTTGCCAACAATATAATTTTAAAATCAAAACTCAAACTCACACACACATTCTCATTTTCAATCTCAAACAACAACAATTGTGAACAATTTAATTTTTTTATTTTCAATTTTATATGATTTTAAAATGTTGGCAAACGTCAGAACAAAATCATGGCCGACGAATTGAGAGAATGAATTTACCTTGTAATGTTTTTATCATGCCTGTAATCACGATAAAAACATTACAAGGTAAATTCATTCTCTCAATTCGACATTTTAAAATCATATAAAATTGAAAATAAAAAAATTAAATTGTTCACAATTATTGTTGTTTGAAATTGAAAATGAGAATGTGTGTGTGAGTTTGTGTTTTGAATTTTAAAATTATATTGTTGGCAAACGTCAGACTGCCTCTCAATGGTTTTACCTCATTATGTTTTTATCATGGTTTGTAACCATGGTACAATAATTACTGGTATTGTCTTCCCAGAGAGTNAATTGAAAATGAGAATGTGTGTGTGAGTTTGTGTTTTGAATTTTAAAATTATATTGTTGGCAAACGTCAGACTGCCTCTCAATGGTTTTACCTCATTATGTTTTTATCATGGTTTGTAACCATGGTACAATAATTACTGGTATTGTCTTCCCAGAGAGTTTTGCTTCACATTGAAATTCGTGCTCCCTTATTTTCATTTTGGCGCAGTTCAATGTTGATTCTTTACTATTATTTGGCTTTGCTTTTTGTTTTCGCTCAATTTGATTATTATAATTTTTCAAAACAAAAGGAAAAACGTTTGAAATTAAGTGACCCATACAAATTTTGAATTAATTTGCAAGCAAATGTTTATTCTAGCTTTTGCAAGAAGGTTTTTTTTTTTTAAATACGTGAACATATATGGTATATGGGGTATGGAAATATCCCTTTTCCCTAGCAGTAAACATTTTAATGTGGGCAACAATGATACCTGTAATTATTGTACCATGGTTACAAACAAAATGTATTCAACAAAGTGTGATTGAATTTGATATTGCTCTTAGAGCGTGTGTGAGTCGGTAACAAAGTTCGCGGAAAGTAAATTTTTGATAACCATGAGGTGAATAAAATTTCAGTAGCTCGTGAGGCTAGTGAAATTTTTGACAAATGCATAGAAAATTTTGACAATCGCAAAGATTGTTGATGTGTGTAATTTTTCGTTAAATAAAAGCTTAAATTGATGAATTGCAATCAATGATGGTAGATGTTTTCTTAAAATATTAATTTCACTTCAATTTGTAATATTTTATTCCGCATAAAACTGCGGTTATCAAAAATTTACTGCTGTCAAAAAATTAATCATTTCACACAGCAGATTGGCAGAACTTTGTTACCGATTCACACACGCCCTTAGAAGAAAAGTCAAATAGAAATTTTTTTTTATAAATTTTGAAACACTTGTTTATTTTTTGGCATAATAGTACCTTAAAAGAGACCCTACCTGTGTTGTCAATCACACCTTGTTTAATACATCTTGGTTACAAATGTTTTGTTGAGAGAAATATATTTAGCTGACTATTTTCTCAGTGTAAGAATAGAGAAGAAATGCGTTGCATTCCCGTTGTCCTATATGTATAAAGGAGCTTAGAAATTAGTATGAAACTGACTAGGTCAATGGAATCACTTTTCCCCATATGCAGTAATATATGTACATACATTCATGTTACTATAGTATGGAAGGGGCGTATCTCACATCGTCGCTGAAATACAAAAAAGCCACAACTAACTAAAAAAATGTATTGCATAAAAAGATGTGGGTACTTATAATTCGATGAAAAGCATCATATTCAATCAAAAAGTGAATTTTGGATTTTTAGTTAGTCACGGCTTTCCATACTAGACCAACCATATGTATGTATAATGAAAGAAATAAGAAATATAATACATTGAAATTTGAGGAATGTAAGATAGCAAATAACGAATTTGGAATTACTTATGTAGAGATTAGTTGGAGCAAGATCTCAAGCAAAGCAATGATTACTTTGAGTCCGAAACACTCTCATTCTCGTGCATGTACCGTAGTCGCAGTAACATTGCTCCGAGAATTCATTCAGAAAATCGTATATTTCAGATTTTTTCACATTAAACATATTTCGAAAAGATTTCAGTCAGGCGAAGGCGTATTAAATAATTCGATTCTTAAATTGCAAAAATACTCTTATTTTGATTTCGCCAATGTGTTCTGCATGTCCACAATAACAGCGACGAGAAGTACGCCTTGATCTGGTGTTAAATTGCCAAACGGTCAGTTATTAAAAGTCGCAAGGGTTTGGTTGAGGCCGTCGGGATTTTCTCGAAAAAAAATCTTTGGAACTATCGTTTTCAAACCAAACGGACTTACATATTTTCAACAAGAGCCTCTGTATTTACTAGAGCTCAAGAAAACATTAAGGCTTAACATAAGCAGCAGCGACAGCGACGTTTTTACACCCACTCCATCCTAAAAAGCAAGTAATTTAAGGGCCGTGTATAGTTGGAGTTAGCGGCGCCAATAAATATGCGGGAAATTGTACATATTCAGGCCGGGCAATGTGGTAATCAGATTGGAGGAAAGTTTTGGGAAGTGATATCTGATGAACACTGCATCGATGCCACTGGTACCTATTATGGCGATAGCGACTTGCAGCTGGAACGCATTAACGTCTACTATAATGAGGCGACAGGTGCCAAATATGTACCTCGAGCCATTCTTGTCGACTTGGAACCGGGCACCATGGATTCGGTACGCTCTGGCGCCTTCGGGCAAATCTTCCGACCAGATAACTTTGTGTTCGGCCAATCTGGCGCGGGCAACAACTGGGCCAAAGGCCATTACACAGAAGGCGCTGAGTTAGTCGATTCAGTTCTCGATGTGGTAAGGAAAGAGTCTGAAGGATGTGATTGCCTACAGGTTTGTATTTTAAATGCAAAAGAATTATACTTACCCACTATAAGCATTAAATTGCACTTGCTTTCATGTTTTTTCTTGTAATCTCTAGGGATTTCAATTAACGCATTCTCTTGGTGGTGGTACCGGTTCCGGTATGGGCACATTGTTGATTTCGAAAATTCGGGAGGAGTATCCCGACCGTATTATGAACACATTTTCAGTTGTACCTTCACCTAAAGTGTCTGATACTGTAGTGGAACCCTATAATGCCACACTCAGTGTGCACCAGCTGGTGGAAAATACCGATGAAACATATTGCATCGACAACGAAGCTCTTTATGACATCTGCTTTCGCACACTCAAACTAACCACACCAACATATGGCGATCTTAATCATTTGGTTTCGGCCACAATGTCTGGTGTTACTACTTGCCTTCGCTTTCCTGGCCAGCTTAACGCAGATCTTCGAAAGTTGGCTGTGAATATGGTGCCATTTCCACGTTTGCACTTCTTCATGCCTGGTTTTGCACCATTAACATCTCGTGGATCTCAGCAGTATCGTGCACTTACCGTGCCAGAGCTAACGCAACAAATGTTCGACGCTAAGAATATGATGGCTGCTTGTGACCCCCGTCATGGTCGTTACTTAACTGTGGCAGCTATCTTTAGGGGTCGTATGTCTATGAAGGAGGTTGACGAGCAAATGTTGAATATCCAAAACAAAAATAGCAGCTTTTTCGTGGAATGGATTCCAAATAATTGCAAAACCGCGGTGTGTGACATTCCTCCCCGTGGTCTAAAGATGTCGGCCACATTCATTGGTAACTCAACAGCCATCCAGGAATTATTTAAAAGAGTTTCCGAACAATTCACGGCAATGTTTAGACGCAAAGCTTTCTTGCATTGGTACACCGGAGAGGGCATGGACGAGATGGAGTTCACCGAGGCCGAAAGCAACATGAATGATTTAGTTTCCGAATACCAACAGTATCAAGAAGCGACCGCCGATGAGGAAGGCGAATTCGACGAGGATGAAGAAGGAGGTGGTGATGAATAACAGCTGGATCATATTGACTGACATGCAGAGAGTTGGCCATAGGTCGTGAGTGAGGAGTTTTGATAAATTTTAACGCTGCGTCTTGTGCGCTCTATAATAGCATACATATGTATGTGTGTAAATTTGGATTGTGATATTAGTTTTTACTTTGCTCCTCAACAAGGAAATTGTGTTCATGATATTCGATTCTAGTGCGATTTATTTTCCCTGAAATCTTTTTGAATAATCTGTTTATATAAACGACTAAAATACATATGATTTACATTTGGATTGAATGTACCAAATTAGAAAGATTGTTTGCATACATACATACATTTGTGCTCTAATATTGAATCCTATAGAAAGTTCCAAGCGAGCAACAAACATTTGGGTACATTCCTCCATAGTTGTATTTGTAGACATTCGAGGATACCTACACTGAGGGGAAAAAAATCAAAATTAAAAAAAAACTGTTAAATTTAAAAAATACGCATATGAAAGAGCAACCCAACTCGTTTTAAATTTGAGTGTGTACACTGAGGGAAAAAATTTTAGAATTAAAAAAAAACGTGCTAAATTTAAAAAAATACGCATATGAAAGAGCACCAACCCAACTCGTTTTAAATTTGAGTATGTACGTTCTAAAATATGTCGTTGTGAAGTGCATAGATGCTTTTTCGTTATACGAAATTAAAATTAAGAAGAAAAAAATTTAATCTTATGTTCCGTCTGATGGTGATTGAACCCGGACGCTCTTGGTAGCAACCAACTGTATCAAGCGTCTTTGCACACTCAGCTACAGCCATACAAGTAAATGCGTTTTCAAATGTTGAGTTTGAATCAACATCACAGCGCGCGATTTGTGCATGATGTCGTACCATGTATGTACATATGTATGTATGTATGTGTTGTCACCGCTTTGCATGCTTTGTATACATATGCTTTCTTAATTACATATGAAAAAGAATCCGTGCAGTGAAAATGCTTCATTTTAATACGGGCGTATTTGATTTGAATATTTCCATTATACGTAGTGTATGTATAATGAAAAAATCCATTTTGTTAAGACTTTTCACTTGATTTAAAAACGAACATTTTTAAACGCTAATCAAATAGAATTTTTTTATTCTTACAACGCGTTTCTTTTCTCAGTGTACGTTATAAAATATGTCGTTGTGAAGTACACATTTGCTTTTTCGTTATACGAAATTATAATTAAGTAGAAAAAAATTTGCTTTATGTTCCGTCCGATGGTAATTGAACCCGGACCCCTCTTGGCAGCACCCAATTATATCAAGCGTCTTTGCACACTCAGCTACAGCCATACATGTTAANACTCGTGCACGGTGTATGCGTTACATTTTCCATGTTAAAGTTTGAATTGTTTTCATTCGCAATGCAAACTTAAATTGGAAATATATTGGGGAAAATGACTTGATTTAGAAAAACGGCAAACAGATCCGTAATCTGCGAACCAAAAATAAGGGTGTGATCGAGCTGCAATTAATGCGGCAATGTTACTTTTTATGGAAGAGCATCACGTTCTACGCAAACAATAGGCGACTCTGCCTACATCAAACGTTCGAAGAACAAAATTTTTACAATCAGTTGCCCATCATTGGCAAATAAAAATCAACATAAAAACTTTTATTGCGCAATTTCTGCAGTATTTCAGAATATTTTCTGCATCAGCAACATATCAAGAAAGGAACAAGGAATGCAAGCGCTAGAGGCGCTGATGTCAAAATAAAAAGTACGTTCGACATAAAATGCATGTTCTCTTCCCGTTAAAAATTTTGTCAAGAACAATATTAACAAAACTTTTTCAAAGGAAATTTTAGTAACGTAACACCAGGTAACGTCACGTCAGATAATTCAGCTGATTAAACATAATGCAGAAAAGATTTCTACATTTAAAAACTTGGAAATTTCACCCTAAACATTTCCCATATTACTACAAACTGTTATAGACATACACCATTATTCTAGAACCCGAATTTTCGTAATTCGTAATTAGTAGCTACGCTACGAAAAACGAAAAATCCACATANTTTTTACACCCATTCGGGTATAAAGGTGAACAATTAGTCTCTTCATAAGACATGCTCGAACAAAAGCGAACAGTTCATTCCATATAAAGAGATCAAAAGTGGNACTGCAACCCTTGGGGAAACATGGGCAACATTGCCAGCTATCAGTTGTAAATTATGGATTCTGATGTATTTGAAATTATAGCATCAGAGTAAGGGGGCGCTGTGGCAATGGATTCACAAAGGTATGCGGAGCTGTCGGGCATAGTCACCATGGGCGCATCTATGTCAGCTTCTGGTTGAATTGTTGAACCACAAGCCAGAACTACTCCTATGCCTGAAGCTCTGGTTCTCAATCCACTTAATGCAATAACAGCTTCTTCCAAGCTATTGAAAACATGCACTTTGTTAGGTCCACCACCTGTTGCGCTTGCCTCTGCCTTCGTCCGCGCTTNCCCAGCAATACCAGCGTGACCGAAACTCCAACACAAACGCAAATTTTATGGTGTTACTANAGAGGTACTTCCGCATGTCAAAGGTATACAAATTTCTTGTGCATATCACTCCGGCTGCGCCGTCCACAGTATTTTTGCGCAGAACCCACGTCGAAATTGCAAAAAAGTGCATAGTGCAAACACTAATAGTTGAAACATTTATCCTAAATAAAATGTGAATCCTTCACATTACACGTGTATGTTAAAGTTTTTGTATTCAGGTTATGCATTTGGACACAACAACCGAAAATCATTGTACAGATAACTAAACCGGACCCAAGTTTATNTTGATTGGAGAGCCATCTATTGTTTTTTCGTGCGAGCTATATTTCACATATGAGTAAATAGTCACGCTAATCTTTTCAAATATGAGCAAGCNTGATAAGGGGCAACAAAGATTCTTTTTTGCTCGTTTATATAAGGCAGTGGATAAAAATATACGTATATGCGTCAGGCAAATTTATCTCTTTAAATGAGCACCACCAATATTTCTTGCAAACACACATCGATATACATCTTTTATTTCTCCTCCGACACAGAATTGTTTTCGTACAAAATTGCGCAAAAAAGCTTACTCGTTCGTTTTTAGGCATGCCATTGTTACGAATTTCGAAAGTTCGAAAATACGATTCGGATTGCAGCATATTATTTCTACGATTCGTAGCAAAATCCGAACACGAAAGAGTTGCAGAATAGGGGTCATNTATGTGTGAATATTCCCAGCAAAACCCCAATATTTTGTATGAAACAACAGCACGAAATAATATTACCAGGGTTCGGAAATATTCNGTGAAGTTTTGCAGTTTTTCACTTCAGTGTTTTGTAACGTCACGCCAGCGCGTATGTTTACTAATATCTTTAAATCGCTACTGCTAGTAGTTGTAAGTATACAAATCTAGAAAAACCTTTTTAAAATTTTGACATTTTCAATTATTTTTGTTAACATTTTGTCATACGGGAGTCACGTAACGCCAGATTGGAAATACCCATATAACATGATACAAAAAGAAGGTAGTTGCAATAAACAACTTTTCACGGATAATACAATTTTTAGAAGTTCCATAAGTCTCAACGGCCTTGCCAGTTTGATAATATTAAAACAATAAATCGGAGTATTTTCTGTACCACATTTATACCAATTTAATTTATTTCAAATCAAAAATCATTATCAGTGCTTGGTAGTTTTTTTACTTGTTTTTATTAAAAATATATAAAATGTATAATGCTATAGGAGACTTTATTGAAATTGTCCTTTTTATTTTATAATAAAAATCACGAAAGCATTATGTTGTTATTTTTGGCAAGCGAGAGCTAGCAAAGCTCTCGGTATGCGAGGAAAAGTATGCTTCGTACTTTTTGCGGTCTACACGTGGGGATCTCGCATACATCGTCACGCAAGCGAGATTTTCCAGCACGTGAAGACGGCCGGTTAGAGCGCTAATTTTATTACGTTATTTTGATAGACTGCTTTTACACAGTTCAAGTATTGAATTCAATTCTGCTCGCATGTGGAAGAGGGGGCCTGAGAAGAAAAGGGACGAGTACACATGCGTCTGTACCGTCAAGTCGTTTCAACTTTCTTTCTTTGCTTTTGGCATTTTCGTTGCTTCCCAATTATAGAACCAAAAACTTCAATTCAACAGAATTGAAACGTGTAAAAGCAAGTAGAAAACACAAAAGAGAATGAGCAAGAATTGCTTTCAAGTACTTGAATCATGTAAATCGGGTGATACCTATTGTGGCGATTACTGCGGCAACACAAAGCGAACAACGAGAAATTGGCACAATGTTTGAGGAATGACGTAGAATGTTCCACAAAGAGAAACGTCAGTTGGATGAACACTGCGGACAGCGAGAAAAAGAGAATGAGCGATGAACTTCAGAACGTTCGAGAGTTGCCATGAGTGCGAGCGCAGGTATATAAGAGCCATGACACAGCGGAGTTGGAGTTATAGGCTAACCTAATATTCGCGGCTTGCGTTTTGGTACGCATGCCGTCGAATTTGTTTTTTTGCGTCACCCGAAATTGACTTGCATGCGTTTGCATTTGATTTCATTGAGCGAAACGTCAAATCAAAATGTCACGCAGTACAAAAATTGGAAATTGAGTTAGCTTCATACGCACGCCGTTCAATTTCGGTTGATCTCATACAAGTTGCATGTGCATGAGAAATTTTTGACAATAAATTGGCGGCGTGCGTGAATATTAGGTTAGCCTGTNCTGCTGCGAGGTTGCAAAATGTAGACGCGTAAAAAACATACCTTTGAGTGTGACAAAATGTAGACGGCGTCGTTTTCCAATTTTGTATGGGAAACAACAACACCACAGATTTTACGGTTAGAAAACGTCTTAAAATGTAGACGTCTACATTTTGAGACACTATTTGGAACGAACTGTGAACACCCCATATGTTTTTGCGTAAATTTTCAAGTAAGTGCCCTTTCAGACACGTCAAGTCTTGCTTTCAAGTCTGCTCGTTCGTAGGCGAAGGAGGTGAGAAGAGAAGAGAAGGGTACAGATACCTCCGTACCGTCAATTCGTTTCAAGTTTTCTTGTCTCTTTTGATCTTTTCGTTGCTTCCCATTTAAAGAACCAAGGAATTGAATTCAATTAAAGTTGACGCGTGTGGAAGCAAATAGAAAACACAAAAGAGAATGCGAAAAAAATTGCTTTCATGACTTGACGTGTCTGAAAGGGGACTAAATTTTAGTGGTTTCTAATCGATAATTTTTAAAATTAATCGGATAATCTTTCTATTAATCGATAGGAAAATATCGATGAATTAAACCGTTAACCGAAAGAAAACAATAGATTGCTGTCAAATCGACGAAGAGAGGGTTAGCGGTCCGCGAATGGCGCGACCTTTATTTTCTGGATCGTGGAGACAGTGTACTAATTGGTCTTACAGTACAGCCGATAGTATCGATAGTTTTAAAACATCGATAGTATATTTTTAAAACAAAAACCATCGATATATCGATAGTATCGTCGATATTTTTCCACCTCTTCTAGTATTGATAACACCACAGTATACGATAACACGGATAAGAAAATGTATGGAAAATGACCACTCTACCAAAACGTGAGTCGCTTTTTACAACACTTTTTTTATTTTTAGTTATCTTTTGACAATGTAACATTTTGAGTTATTATTCTACTACTCTCGAAGTTATGCGCCTGGGAGTGATTCAGCTGAAGGTTGGCAAGGACAAAATTTCAAATGTTGAAAATGCCGTAGCGAAGATTGGGCAAGTGGTCCACGAATATAAACCTCGTCTGGTGACTTTGCCCGAATGCTTCAATTGTCCCTATGGTACGAAATACTTTAGAGAGTATTCCGAAACGATACCCGGCGGTTATACCTCGCAACAGTTATCTGCCGCCGCAAAATCTTATGGCATTTACATAGTTGGTGGCTCTATTCCGGAAATGGGTGAAAAAGATGATATTTACAATACCTGCACTGTATGGGACCCTAGTGGAAATTTGATTGCAAAATATCGTAAAATGCACCTCTTCGATATTGACGTTAAAGGGGGAATATGCTTTAAGGAATCCGAGACTCTAACTGCTGGTTCAAATTTTACTGTGATAGAAGTAGATGGTCATAAAATTGGTATTGGCATATGTTACGATATGAGATTTGAAGAACTGGCAAGAGTATACCGCAACAAAGGTATTATTTTAAAGTAGCAAACATATTTTTAAATTTGTTTAATTAAAGGTTGCGAGATGATTATCTACCCTGGTGCATTTAACATGACGACTGGACCCTTACATTGGGAATTGTTGCAACGCTCACGTGCAAACGATAATCAGTTATATGTTGTAACCAATTCACCTGCTCGTGATAAGGACGCTGAATACATAGCTTGGGGCTATTCAATGGTGGTGGATCCATGGGCAAAAGTTCTAAAAAGCGCTTCTGATGGCGAAGATGTAATTTCTATAGATATTGGTAAGTTACTACATTTTCTTAATTCAAACATACAAATGTATGTAAATATTCGTAAATTATACATATTTTCAGATTTCTCAGTTGTAGAACAAGTTCGTGCCCAAATTCCTACTTTCAGACAACGTCGATTGGATCTATATAAAACGGAAATTGTGAATCAGGATTAGTAACTAATTCTTGTGCGTTTTTAAGACGGATGCACATATCATCATTTGACGTCTTCGAAAATGGCTGCATTTCTTTATTTATTCTGAACGTTTGGAATAAACTTTTTTGTTTACTTATTGTTTAGAACGTTCCTGATATGTTAACGTGTATTTCAAACACATTCTGTTTATTCTGGCTGTGAAAAGGGATTCTAGAATGTATAAAGAAACGCAACGCAACCAATGTTTTTTAACATTTCTTTAGTTGGCCTTCGGATACACAATATACCAAAATTAAAGGGCATACATATCTTGAATGTTGCAAGATTTATTAGTTAATTTAGAACAGTTCCCTTGGGTTACGTACATAATATCTGAATTTAAAGATTTTTGCATCCCCTGTAAAATTTCAGCTGCCCAAAAGTTGGTAGATTACTCAGTGCTGACTTAATCGAATTTAAAATCAACTACTACATAAAAAATGACTATGTTTATTAAAAACCTTTACATTACAATAATGAAGAAAATTGCATTTGAAGAACTTTAGTAGGCACAAAGTTTTATAGCTGTTATGTAAAGAAACAAAAATGTTAGACACGGCCTTTCTATTTTAAGGTAACGACATGTTCAATATAAAACTTCTAATTTTTTATTCAAAACTAAGCAATCGACAATTTATGTACATACCCTGCAAACCAAAGTTCCCGAAATCTTAAGGAAATCGTTAGGAGTATCTCATTTCTGTAACGAGTTTTTTACGAATTTTCAAAGAAAATTATATGAGGTGGTTGACACGAGCTCGTAAAAAAATTCCTGTACGAAAAATAAAGAAAATTCTGGAAAAATTCTGGAAGATATTCTTCACATAGCAGCATTATTTTCGTAAAAGAATGGAAGTGTGCGTAATTTATTTCATTTTAGAAAATTCGGCAACAAATCGAATTAAATCTTAACGAATTCTTTAAAATTTCTATACAATGTAGAATACTCTGAAAAAATGGTTTGCAGGGAACATTGTAGCCTATGCATATATGTACATATATACATATTTATAATTATCACTTACGGCATTTAGTGAAAATTTGGATTTAAAGTACACTTTCTAACCTGAGGGTTTCATCCAGGCTATCTCTCTAACTCTGAAGGTTGTACCGGTAAATGGGCTTGCACAACCAAAATTTTTTAACGCAAATTTTTTTGAGAATAAACGACGTAAAAAAATTACTTTATTCTTTTGATTTCACACACAAGTCCAAATTTTTATTCAAGCCCAGTTTCAGACCAACATCGAAATAAACCGTAAAAAAAAGATGTTTCTAATAGCGGTCGTCCCTCCGCATGCCCTGGCAAACTACCGAGTGTATTCTACCATGAAAAACAGTATCTCATAAAAAAATACAATCGCCGTTCGGAGTCGGCTTAAAGCTGTACGACCCTCTCCTTTGTGTGACATCAAGGCGCACACCACAAATCGAAGGCGAAGCTCAGCCAAACACTAATCATTTATTATTATATATACAACTGTAGACTTTCTAAATACCTTTACAACGATGTATCTTTTATAGAAATCGGACAAATAAAAAAGTTACAGAGAAAGAGGCTTAGCTGTTTTTAAATGGGGCAGGGAAAAATATTTGTGGTTCAACCAAAATCGACTCGTGTAAATGGCAATTGAACCGTAAAATGTAAATGCCCCCAACTACAACACTTGACACAACTATCGGACACTGGAACCTAATCCATACGGCCGCTGAGCTTGGTCAAACAGAGCTTTTATTGCATCATCGGTAGCCAATAAAGGTTGGCTAACAAATTCCAGGGCGTGTACAGCATATTTCTCCGCTTCGCATAATGGATTTTTACTAGTACTTAAAATATCCATGCCATCTTCGGGGATACCTACACCTGAATGTAGTACCATCTGCTGCAAAATATTTAAATTTTCTACACTGAGGCTTATTACGTCAGTTGCTGGAAGGTTTAGGTAGCGTATCTTTGCCATAAATTTCAAATTACGAAGGATTTCCAATTGCATTTCTCGAATCTGATGTATTGCGTGTAGTAAACGTTTAGTAGATTCCTCCATCGTTTGAGTTTTTTGAGTAAGATCTGCTTTCCAGCGTGCCAACTCTTCTACCATAACGCTACTTGCCAGAAATTTTGATCGCCATACTTCGCATTGGCCCGCAAGGAATTCAATTTGTTCCTTAAGGAGACAAGAAAGGATACGTAAACATTATGGCTGGTTAAATAAATATATTTCACAAGGAAATTTACCGCGTGAGTAGTTAAGTTTTTGGCTGTGTCTAGCAAGGCGCGCGCTAACTGGAGTTTATCCTCCGTCAGCACATTGACATGTGTTTGCAAATCTTCACCTACAGACGCTACTAACAAATTTTTTAGTTCGGAGTTGACTTGAACTTGAAATCTAAACTGCGCCTGATAGTAATCACGCTCCTCTTTAGTTTTTCTAAGTTCGTCTTCCAATTTCACATTAATTACATCCTTATTCTTTCGCTCCTTACAAGATTTTGGGTCCATTTCCTGTGCTCGCAATGTACACATTTGGCTGACAAGCACACCAATGTCTAAATTGTTATTTTTTTTTAATGTCATCATCCTTTCGGGGCTTTTGGTACATGGAACCATTAAATTGGTAGCACCTGGATACGGTTCATATGGTATAAACTTTGGAGGTTTAACTTTTTTATGCTCAGTTATACGAACTGGCGTAGCAACTAAACGTGGTCTCATTTGAACAAGTTCGCCTTTAGGTACGATGGGTGCGATATTGCGTTTCCCCCCATCGGATCGGCGATACAATAAATGTAAACCCGGTAATGGTAATGAACTATTTGCATCTGTTGCGTTACTAGCCGCATTTTTTCTGTGAATATTTTCTTTTATAATAGCAACAGTTGGATAACGTGTAACATTACGATGGTCATCATTCTCTCTTTTGCTTCTATGTTCCAATTTTGTCGAACTGGACTTTTCTTCTTCCATACCATCTCCGCTCGTGCGACTTCTCTCCAAATCGAAAGCTTGAGCCTCCATTCCTATAAACCAATTTTTTATTTTAGAAAAAATTACTTAATAAACAATTGTCTCCCGTGACAATACAATTAAAAAGGTTATAAATATCTCATTTGCAAAAGAAATTGCCAAACGAAATCGTAAACAAAAATAGATATGCTAAGAAGTAATCGATATATAGAAGAACTGCATTTTTATTCGACTACCCAGCAAAACCAGCGTAACCGAGACTCCAACCCAAAAGCTGAAATTAGTCGAGAACGCAGAACATATCTGTATACGCAGAATTTTGTCGATTACTGGAACCCTCAGTGTTGCTTATTACACTGTTGCCACTCATCAATGCCTTTTCATAAACTTACCCTTACAACTACAATTTTTCGTGCTATAATAGATTTTAGCTAAATATAAACTACTTAGTTTTCAACAAAAACCTTATTCAATAGTAAGTTTCAAATATTTTAAACATATTTTGAATAGGAACTTATAACTTTTTTACCATCTGTAAAACTGACGAAGTGCCAACCATCTAAAGAAGGAGAAATCAGCTGACACGGAAAAATCTAAATTCCGCAGATTTCTGCGATACGGGCTACAACTACAGAAAAATTCTGCGGTGTTGAGTTTTCATTTACATGGCGCTTTGGTAAGACAGATCGTGTCAGCTGACTCGGGTTTACGTACCGGTAGGTTTACGTTCTTGACTAATTTCAGCTTAACGCAAATTTTATGGTGTTACTAACACACCTGTAATAATTTTAATTGGAGTGCCATCTATTGTTTTTTCGTGCGAGCTATCTTTCGCATATGAGTAACCCTGCAAAAATGGCGACTACTCCATGCATGCATGTAAGGAGTACTCCCGAAGGACCAAGGAGTACTCCAAAATTAACCACAATTCATATAAAAAAATATGGTCCAATTAACATTGCGATGTCCTAGGGCAGGACCATATACTCCATCTCTGCATTACATCAGAGTAGCACAAAACTACTCCCAACATACTCCAATGACATTGTCGTTATATTTTTTCGTTTGTACGCGCTTTTGTTCTTCACTTCGCATATGCTTTTTTTGAAATTAATAAAAACCAAAGACAAAAATTAAAAATTAAATGTTGCCTCTGACGACATTCGAACCCGAACATGCTGGGAGCTAAGAACTAACTGCTAGCATCTCTACACGTTCAGCTACAGCCAGACATGCAAATGTACTTTCAAATGCTTAACTTCAATCACATTTCGTTAAAACACAAGCAGTGATCGGGTAACAAACAATAAGCTGGCGCAGAGACACGAGTTGGTCCGCTACAGCATGACAGAGGAGCACTTTTGTAAGTACTCCAATATACCACAAATAGACTACATGGTCCAACGATTTTTGCAGGGAAGTAGTCAAGCTAATCTTTTCACATATGAGCAAGCAGGCAAACTATTTGGTTTGAAAAATCACACGTACACAAAACTTCTGGGAGCATTTTTGATTCACTATTAAGAATGTGATAGCAAAAGGTGCCGGACTTCGCGGGCACGCGTGACGGTAACGTCACTAGGAAAGTGACCGTCACTGTTCTTACTGGGTACCGGCACGTTTACATTAGAAAATAGTTGTGTTTGTTTACGAATTTTCATGATTTGGCGTTTTCGTACGAAAAACTTGCAAATTAGGCAAATTGAGAGAGCGAAAAATGGCAGTTGAAGTTGTAAGTTTTTACTGGATTTTACTGGATAAATTTTTGCTTGTAACAATTTGCCAGTACGAAAAACAGCTGATCGCATGATGCTGGATTAAACTTAAACTAATAAGGAAACTATTTGTGGGCTTTTATTGTTGAATTTCACAAAATAAACTTTATGTAAATATAAAATATATTCTTTTATTAGGAATTTGCTGCGAATAAACAACGAATTTAACAGCTGTTCATGAAACTTGCAAATTTTTACTGGAAAAGCGTTCGCGTACTTTATTGCAAATTTTTTCTACTAGAGCGAATTCTGTTCTGACCGACAACGAAAACACTTTGAAAACGTGTTTTGGGATTGTAAGCTGAAGGCTGTTCACACCGGCTGTAATTGTTTTCGTTGACATTTCTTACATCCTCTGATTACTGTTTTGCTACACAAAAACAAAACCAAAATGCTTTTCCCTCAATTTCTTTTCATTAGCAACCTCTTACTTTCATTCTTATTTTACTTTTGCCAGCCAATTAACAATAAATCCGAAATGGCGTATTAAAAATGATAAAATATGACTTCCACTTCCATAAATAATCGAAAAAAACTAGTGAAGACTCCGATTGGAATGAGTAGAACGTGAGTTTTCATGTAGTTTTCAGATTTTACATGGACGAAAATACACGTTTTAACTCGAAAACCAGTATTAGCAACGAAAACATGTTTTCGATGTCGGTCAAAATATGGTATTAGGCTATCTGCACACTTGTCGTCCAATCATAGTTGCGTTATCGTCTCGCCCTGAAATTTTAGCCGAGCACATGCATTTCAAAGGAAATTTCTTCTTAAGAGCTTTTGTAGAAAGAGCTTTTGTATGTATGCCATTGCCAGCAAGCTAAACCAGCAAGTTTTAGTGTGTGGGCACTTTGATGTCTTGAAATAAGCATTTGCCGCATGACGCCACCAGACAACATTCGATCAATTTCGGTATTTAAAAACATTTAAATCTTTAAAAAACTTGCTGAATAATTCCTTAAAACGTAATCATAAATAATCCCATAGAGAACAGATTTTTATTTTGATTTAATATCAAAATTTCATCAATGTTACCACCAGCACGCCTTCTTTCAAATGAAAATATGGCTGTCAAACTATCGAATTGCCCTGCAATAGATGTCAAGCAATAAGCGCTGACATAAATTGCAGCCCATGAATAATAGGCGGTCTCCATTGGAAATATATTTTGTGACATGGTTATCACGACATCAGTGTTTTCCTGTGGAGACAGAGCCTATTGTGATACAGAAATATTGGTTGCGATCCCGTACGAGTCCGGCGTCCGGGCTAGTCAGAATCAGTCAGATTTTACTGGAAATCGATACCGTACTCGGTTCTCTGACTATTGAGAGGACCGAGAATTTTTTGCTGGAAAATTCTGGTAAATGTGTCAAACGATCAGCTGTAGTGTGTTTGGCAACCAAATTGTAAACAAAAGAAAGGTGCACTCTGCTAATTCATGTTGAAAAGTATTTCATTACTTGTTTAAGTGGATTCTCATGAATTTGAAAGTATTTTTGTTTATTTGCATGTGTGAGCTGAGTGTGTTTACATACAAAATAAGCAAAAATTTACAACCAAAATTTGGAGGTTATGTTGAAGTTGACAGAAGTTACAATTTTTTTCCTAGAAAGCGATCCCGTACTTTTCAATGTTACTCTCTCGCTCTGAGCGATTTTTATTTTTTGACAGTTTTACTAGTCTGAGTTCGAGGAATACGGGATTGCACCTATCATGAACCAAAAATACAAGATCACGCCTTCTTAGTAGCCCGTTATAATCGCGTTTAGGAAAAAAGTTGGGCGATTTTGACATTAGCCGTTTGTTTACATTTGTTCGTTGTTTACAAATGGTGGTGCCTTTTTACTGCAATTTTCTTAATTTTCGCTTGTGACAACGTGTGCACACATAAGTTAAAGAATAATTTAACACAACGACATAATTTATAGAAGAATTTCCATAATAAAAATGATTATTCATGCGTTCTACAATTACGCGGGTTTTTGTTGTTGTTGTTGTTGTTGTAGCAGCATACAAANGTTATCACGACATCAGTGTTTTCCTGTGGAGACAGAGCCTATTGTGATACAGAAATATTGGTTGCGATCCCGTACGAGTCCGGCGTCCGGGCTAGTCAGAATCAGTCAGATTTTACTGGAAATCGATACCGTACTCGGTTCTCTGACTATTGAGAGGACCGAGAATTTTTTGCTGGAAAATTCTGGTAAATGTGTCAAACGATCAGCTGTAGTGTGTTTGGCAACCAAATTGTAAACAAAAGAAAGGTGCACTCTGCTAATTCATGTTGAAAAGTATTTCATTACTTGTTTAAGTGGATTCTCATGAATTTGAAAGTATTTTTGTTTATTTGCATGTGTGAGCTGAGTGTGTTTACATACAAAATAAGCAAAAATTTACAACCAAAATTTGGAGGTTATGTTGAAGTTGACAGAAGTTACAATTTTTTTCCTAGAAAGCGATCCCGTACTTTTCAATGTTACTCTCTCGCTCTGAGCGATTTTTATTTTTTGACAGTTTTACTAGTCTGAGTTCGAGGAATACGGGATTGCACCTATCATGAACCAAAAATACAAGATCACGCCTTCTTAGTAGCCCGTTATAATCGCGTTTAGGAAAAAAGTTGGGCGATTTTGACATTAGCCGTTTGTTTACATTTGTTCGTTGTTTACAAATGGTGGTGCCTTTTTACTGCAATTTTCTTAATTTTCGCTTGTGACAACGTGTGCACACATAAGTTAAAGAATAATTTAACACAACGACATAATTTATAGAAGAATTTCCATAATAAAAATGATTATTCATGCGTTCTACAATTACGCGGGTTTTTGTTGTTGTTGTTGTTGTTGTAGCAGCATACAAAACCCCAAAGACTTTTTGGGGAGTGTTGCTGGAGTGACAGTCCTTGGCCAAATATAAATCTGGGTCGTTCCGGTTACGTAGACCCGACTGTCGTGGGAACGTGGCTTTTTTTGTTCTCTTCGCTGCTTACTTCTTACAACAAAGATGGCGTCGAGATTTCAACAGCTAGAAAATAACTGTTTTCTTTCTTTCGGGAAGGCGTGACCTTTTGTCTTTCGTTCATGTGCACCTATTGTCAATAAATACTGAGGGTGTGATATCCACTTCAAATTGGAAAACCATCGATTTTTCTATCGATTATTCTCAAGTCTCTAATGGCATCGATTGTTTTGTGAAAATTTTTTTTACGGCACAAAAGCGTCAGTAAAAATCACTTGTCTTTATATGTGTGAAGAAATAAATTAAGTATATGGTAAGACCTAGGTGTGTTAAATGCATTTTGGGACATATGTCCTACAAAAAGGTTCCTTGCTAGCAACATAACTGCTTTCCTGCGGAAAGCAGTTTGGTACAACCAAAAAAAGGACATATGTAGACATATTGCAAACTAGTTGTGCACGATCGTAACTAAACTGTGTAGTTGTTATTTGGAGCTAAGAGTGCAATCAAATATCTTCCACCTTTTTCGTTTTCTCAGTGATATCGACTAATAGCAGCTTCGTTTTGGCTGTAAAAAGTATTGGCTGGAATTTACTATGTCCTCGGAAGAAATCGATATCCTTAGGAAAATTGAACTAATTGAGCCGTCGACCGGGAAACTGTTTTTCGAACACAAAACTGAACTAATATTCTGCAAACCCCACTTAATACCTTTAAAATCACAGGTGTTGGAGCGGTTAGAGGAGATGCAATGTGAAGCAGCACGAAGGCTTCAGGAGAAACGCCAAAAAACTACTTCTGGGACAAGAAAATCTGGAAAAAACTAAGTAAAAACTGACTGATCCATTAAACAGTAAAGCAAAGGAAAAAAACTAGTCGGAGTTACAAAAATATATATATTGAACCAAGTCTTTAAACATCTAGGTATAACATGGTACAATTACTTACATTCGCGGTTATAGTTGCTCTACTGCTAGCTGGTATTTCACTCTATCGTTATGGAAACATTCCTCGTCAACATATTGTTGTTACGTTATCAGTACTAATGGCATGGTGCTTTTCATTTCTCATTGTATTTGCCATCCCACTCGATGTCACAAATGTAAGTGGACTTAATCCACAAAAATACATATTAAAGTTTTTTTTTTTTTATTTTAGACCTTATATAGACAATGCTTACAGGAAAATACCGACAGAGCGGTGCAGACTACAACCTCAAACGTTAATGCCTCGCCTGTTGAAATCGTTTCGGTTGGTAATACCGAGTGCCAAGCACCATGGGGTATGATTCCTGATTCTGTTTTTCCAAATTTGTGGCGTGTAATCTATTGGACTTCACAATTCCTCACCTGGCTAATAATGCCATTAATGCAGTCGTATTTAAAAGCTGGTGATTTCACCATTAAAGGCAAACTTAAGTCTGCGCTTGTCGAGAATGCCATTTATTACAGCTCGTATCTCTTCATTTGTGGCATATTGTTAATATATATAGCAGCGAAGGGAGTCTCTTTGGATTGGCAAAAACTGAAAGCCATAGCGTCTTCGGCTTCTAATACCTGGGGGTTGTTCCTGCTGGTGTTGCTGCTAGGTAAGCCATTTTTATAACACATAAATGCTTATATTTAGTGTTGCCATTTAAAGTCTTGTGAGCTAGATTTAACTTATGTTTTTTATAATTTCTTATTTTTTTTTTTAAATAGCTCAATAATTTTAAGTTATTGTTCCTAGCGCCTTGAGCCCTTTTTACTTAGGCTCCAACGTTTTTAAAAAAAAAGTTATTTTCTAGCTGCCGAAATCTCGACGCCATCTTTGTTGTAAGAAGTAAACAACGAAGAGAACGGAAAAAACCGCGAAATTGTTGAACGCATGAAAAATCATTTTTATTATGCAAATTCTTCTATAAATAATGCCGTTGTGTTAAATTATTCTCTATCTTATGTGTACACACGTGGTCACAAGCGAAAATGAAGAAAATTGCAGTAAAAAGCCACCACCAAATTGTAAACAACGGAGGAATGTAAACAAACGGCTAATGTCAAAATCGTTCAACTTTTTTCCTAAATGCGATTCTAACGGGCTACTCTCCTGCCCGCGTGATCTTGTCTTTTTGGTTCATGTAGTTGACCAGCTCAATACCTTTAAAAAAAACTACAATCACAAATTATACAAATCTAGCATACCTACATATGTATGTACATATGAGTAGTCCACTTGCAAACAGCGTTATGTGAGCCATAAATTTCAAAAAACGTCTACGACAATAAGTAACATTTAAATTTAATCTTTTTTATTATTACCTGAAAATTTGGATAAACAAGAGCCTTATAAAATTATAACATAACATAACATGACCTTAGTTAACATTAATATACGACCTAAAGCAGTTTTCTAAGTTCATCAGAAGATGTATACTTTTGAAAGTTTATAAGTAAGTATGATAGCGACATTTGGAAGAAGCGTTAACATTTAATGCTATTTTTTCAGAATATAAAAAGATTTTGCACTGTGTTGTTAGTGGACATGAAACTACTTTAAATACTGGCACGAAATGCACCAAAAAGTAAATATCAAAACAATTTTACATAGCGCGTTTTGCAAGTGGACTACTCATATATGATTTAATAAAGGCTAATTCCACGGTGACGGGTGTGACATTTCAACTTACGTTTTGGATTTTACATCGCGAAATAGCAGGGCGACCGGTGAACGACTGCATCGCCCAATTCGGCGAACTTCGCCGTTCGCCGGGTATTGTGTCTCAAGCATTATTAAACTGTAGTACAAAATAATTTAGAATAGGCTTGGGGAGATTTTGAACTAAAGAGCCAGCTCTTTTAATTGAACTAGTTCATTAGTTCGTTCATTAAAGTGAACTAAACTCCAATGGAAATGGTATTTCGTTGGAAGGCGTTAAAAATTAATTGATCGGAATTCGCGCCAAAAAAACATTTTATTTAATTGAATTTCCAATTTGGTCGCTTTTCCAAGTCAAAACTGAAGAAATGCGACGTGTGCGTTTGTTATGTGCGAGAGTAAAACGCTCTATTTACTCGTTTTACTTGGACACTAGTAAATTTACATTTACTATTTGATTTCGCTTTTGACAATGCCTTGTGTTTGTGGTCAAAAGTTCGACCGCATAAAGTCTAAGATTCAGTGCAATAAATGCAATGATTTTTTTCATGCAAAGTGCGTTAATCTATCGCAAACTGACTTGGATTTCCTACAAAAACTAATCGGCCATTCTATTGTGACGTGTGTCAGTCTGTGCGTTGTGTTCGCTCGCCCCCGCGGATTAACGCTGCCGCTAAAACATCATCGAATACCGAAAATCGTAATGCATTCGAAATGCACTCCCAACGCTCGCAAGTTCAATGCACTTCTCCCATGCTCACTACCCAACAACAAGAAACTATCGGAACTGGGCTTGAGAAGCAGAAAGGTAATGTCTCTGATATAATGCAAACTGTGCTTAGTGAAATCGCTGCTTGAAGAGCTGATCATCAAAAAGCTCTCTCATTAATCAATGCTCTTCATGAGGACAAGTTGCTGCTTATAAAAAAAGTGAAGGGGTTACAAGAACAACTTCAGTCTGTTCAGAAAACGTTATTTGAAAACAATCTCGCGCCTCCCGTTGGTATGTTGTCCCAAAACGTCACACACTTAAGAGAAAATGTATCTTGTTCTGCAATGACATAAAATCTAGCTCTCTTAAGCCGCCGTCGCCGCTACCTGGCCCTGAGAATAAACATCACTACTACTGGTTCTTTGCCTGCTGCTGCTGATGCCGTAGATAAATTGCTGCCGTTATCATATGTTAATTGTTACAAATGGATAAACAGAGCGTTCGAGATTGATTATTGACTTTGCGTTGAATTTCATTGCTTAAAAGCTTTGCACTTTTTGTCAAATTATTCTACTGATTGAAAAATTAGTTTTTTTTATTCCTTTTGCAATTGAATAAACATATCTTTGTAAATCTTCATTATTCATTAAATAATTACGATTTACTACATTGGCGACGAGTTAAATTTAGAAAACGCGCATTCAGCAAAATGGATCACTCACAATTCAAGGCATTGTTCGAGGCATTGCAAGTACAAAATCAACAGATTTTGAAGCAACACCAAGAAGAAAAGAATTTGATGCAATAGCAGAATCTGATTGAGTGCATTCTTCAAGGTCAACCGGCACAGATTGCAGATCAAGCCGTTCTTGCTCAAGATTCAACAGCATTTAAAGTTAAATGTTTGGCCGATTCTATGGTCAAGTTTGAATATGACCCAGACAACAATCAAACGTTTGAGGCTTATTATGAACGCTATGAGCCGGTTTTTACAAATCAAGCAGAGGGTCTGGATGAACCAACAAAAGTTTATCTTCTTTTCCAAAAATTCAATGAGGAACAGTATCAACGTTATGCGGATTCAATTTTACCTCTTAAACCACAAGATTGTACATTTGCGAAGACTGTGACAACACTTAAAAAACTTTTCGGAGGATTTTAGCATGCATGCCGCTCGTATAAATAAGCACGCCGCGAAGTTTGACATTTCTCATTGTACTGCGGATGACTTTAAAGATTTGTTATTTTTGAGTGGGTTAAAAGACGTCAAGGACTCGCTTATGCTGGAAAAACTTCTAACGAAAGTTGACAATCAGTATTTAGAGTTGGAGAGGGTAACAGATGCGGCCACACCTGCAGAGGTTCACAAGCTGAATTTGCAGGATTTGATCAACGAAGCCGAGCGTATAATTTGCTTGAAGCTTTACAAGGGTAAAGTTGGCGAGGCATTCGCTGCTCAAGAAGTTCATTCTGTTCAACAAAGACAAGTCAACGGTTCGGAACCAAAGAAACGACACTCCTCGCTTAGCCTGTTTTCGTTGCGGCGGAATGCGTTGGAGTGATAATTGTCCATACAAGGACAAGCAGTGTGGCGAATGTAATGAAAAAGGGCATAAGACAGGTTTCTGTGCTTTTATGAAAAGTTTCAAGGGATATAAATCATCCAGCAAGAAAAACCCCAGTTCGAATCAAGTTGAAGCTATCGTTCACGCAATCTCTAACCGAAAGTATATCAGTCCAGTTGTCAACGGAACTGTAATCAAATTTCAGGTTGATACTGCTTACGATATAACAATCATATCAAAATTAAATTGCATTTTAATCGGACAACCATTGCTATCGTCTGAAATACGCACCAATGCCACAAGCGCATCAGGTACTGCTATTCCAATTTTCGGTGCCTTCAATTGTGGCATTAAACTAAATGGGGAGGAAAAACTCGAAATTTGCTAGTTTACATCACATGAATTGAATCTTTTTGGCATGCCTTGGATTAATTCTTTCGATCTTTGGAGTGTTCCCTTTGATTCTGTTTGTAAACATATAAAATTAACTGGTGATGACTTGGCCATTGAAGTTTGCGAGAAATTTTTCCGGAACTTTTTTCCGAGTTTCTCTGAAGCTCAAGCCTGGAGCCCATCCAATATTTCGGAATGTTCGACCAGTTCCGCAAGCAGCTCGCGAACCTATTTCAATTGAATAGGAACGCCTTCAACATCTTGGCATTATCAGTCCAATCAAATATTCCCAATGGGCAGCACCTATCGTGGTTGTTAAAAAGAAGAATGGCAAATTGCAAATCTGTGCTGATTATTCAACTGGTCTTAACAATGCACTTGAGCCAATCATGTACCCTTTGCCGACACCCGATCAAATTGTCGCTAAGTTTGCAGGAAAGACAATATTCAGTACCATAGATTTGTCCGAGGTTTTTTTTTTCAAGTCGAGGTTGATGATGATTCCAAGGAAATTATGGCAATCAACACTCACGTTGGAATGTTTAAGGTAAATCGCCTTCAGCAAGGAGTTAGCTAACGCAAAAACGCCTCTTCTGCCTGCTGCTGTCCCCGCTGAGCAAACTGCAGCTATTGCTTCTTCTATTTCGCGTTGACCTAACTCTCTACACAAAACAATGAAAATGTTGTCAATAACAATAATACAGCCGCCCACGATCTTTCGCTCTTTTCAAATTCAGGCCCGGCTGATATGGTTAAAGAGTTTATCTCAAATCGCACTGGTATCGATAAGAATTCGATGTTTTGCTATAGCCTTGTCAAGAAAGGTGTCCACGCTAGTACTCTCAAAAGTATTAATTTCAAACTGGGTGTACACGTAAATTCATACTCGAAGCTATTACTGCCTGAGCTGTGGCTTGCTAAGGTAGTTGTACGCCCTTTTCGCTTTTTTTTCCAAAAAACGAAGAGCTTCAACCGACGTCCGACGGCCAACGATCGGCTCAAGTAGAGAACATTTCCGCCTAAAAATCTACATGCAAACATCTGGACTAAGAACTAAATATCAGCTTGTNGAAAAACTTCTAACGAAAGTTGACAATCAGTATTTAGAGTTGGAGAGGGTAACAGATGCGGCCACACCTGCAGAGGTTCACAAGCTGAATTTGCNTTGCTAAGGTAGTTGTACGCCCTTTTCGCTTTTTTTTCCAAAAAACGAAGAGCTTCAACCGACGTCCGACGGCCAACGATCGGCTCAAGTAGAGAACATTTCCGCCTAAAAATCTACAT